AGAGCAGCTGTGGCGCTACGGGCACCTCTGCCTCCGCTCTCTGCTCTACAACTCCTTCACCAACGGTGACGTGGTGCTCGACTCGCTCTTCGAACCTGTCTACTGGCTGGTGGACCACGTCACCCGGTGGTTCGGTGTGGTGAGTACCCTCATGGGGACACGGAGCTCTGGGGGCTGGGACAAGCGTGCTGCTGGGGAGATTGAATCTCAGGGCTGCTTGTGCTCCAGGCAGGAAGAGAGTGTGGTTCAGACTAGTTTCTTGTGGCTGTATCCTGCCTGTGCCTCTCCCCAGGCAGCAGGGGGCAGGTGCTGCCCACTCTGGTGACCCAGGCGCCTCTCCCGTAGGTGTTTGTGGCACTGGTGATCGGGCTCACGAGCTCTATCGTGGCCATTGTGTACATCTGCCTGCTGCCCCTCATCCTGCAGACGTACACGCCTGCCTGGATCTGCTGGCACCTTGCCTACGGACACTGGAACCTCATTATGATTGTCTTCCACTACTACATGGCCATCACCACCTCGCCCGGTCACCCACCGCAGGTGAGGCACCGACTGGCAGTGCAGCCTCTCCCCTGTCCCTCTGGACATTGGGGACCTGCTACGGATGATCTCTAGGAGCAGCTAAACCAGGCAGTTGTTGCAGGAGGCCTCCTCCAGATCAGGCAATGCAGGGTGCAGAGGCAGGGGGGACACGGGAGGTAGGGAGCAGGGGATGCATGCAGGGCTTGGGTTCACAAGTCTCTTCTGACCTGTGCAGGCCAAGGACAATCTCACTGGCATCTCCATCTGCAGGAAATGCATTGCCCCCAAGCCAGCTCGCACCCACCACTGCAGCATCTGCAACAGGTAGGGCTCCCTCCCCCTGCCCACCGCAGCACTTGGGACAGCCTCCAGGACCCCTCTCCTTTTTCCCCTGTCACGCTGTGAGACCGTGACCCCTTCACCTCTGCTCTGCTGGCTTCTTGCCTTGTCTCTTGCACAGCCCACACAGCTTGTGGGGCTGCCTGCACCCTCCCACAGTCCCTGTGCTGGCACTGACACTGTCACTGTCACTGCTTTCCTCACTTCCAGGTGCGTGCTGAAGATGGACCACCACTGCCGTATCCTTCTGCAGTACCAACCCATGACATTCTCTTGGGGGGACATGGCCCTGCTTCCTCCTTCTCTCCCTGCCCTCCTCCTCCTCCTCCTCTTCCGAGTCAGCCAGCACAGGGAGGGGTGCTGGGGGCCAGGCCCCAGGCCTCCCTGGTGTGGGTTTGGACCTGTGGTCTGTCACGGTTACGTATCTTTAACCCCAGAGGCAGCCTGGCTGAACAACTGTGTGGGACACTACAACCACCGCTACTTCTTCTCTTTCTGCCTGTTCATGACCATGGGCTGCATTTACTGCAGCATCAGTGGCTGGGAGATGTTCCGAGATGCCTATGCGGCCATCGAGGTGAGCAGGCAGCCCCTGGCCCACCGTGCACCTGCCTGGTCTCCCCAGGCTGAGCTTGCAGAACAAGGCTGGGCCAGGTCTGGCCTGGCAGTGACTTTGCTTCCCCTCTCGCTCCTCCTATGAGGCCCCCAGCTGTCCTGGTCTTTCAGAGGTCTATGAAGGGGAATGGCCCCCTTCTCTGAGACATGTAACTGGTGCCCTGTTTTCCATCCCCCTAGAAAATGAAACAGCTTGAGAAGGAGAGACTGCAGGTGGCTGCCAACCAGGTGGGACATCCCTGCCCAGCTGCTGCTCCAAGCAGTGTGGAGCAGAGCTGCCCCACAGGCTGGGCCCTGCTTGAGGCCGCGCTCTGAAAGAGTGCTCTGTAGACAGAACCAGCCCCCGTGCTTGTCTCTTGTGTCAGAGCTGGGGCTCTCTGGGCAGCTCTGCTACAGGCACTGCCTCCAGCAGCTTGGGGTCTGCTTCCCTGTGCACCCAGCTTCCAGGTGCTTTGGCTGGCGGCAGCTGCTCGGCATGTGCTGCTCAGGCCTCGCTCTTCTCGGGAAGCCGTGGCAGCAAGTACACATCTCACCCTGAGCATCACCTGTGGTGCAGTGTCGTGATCAGTCCCACAGCTGCTCCCTGCCCCCTTAGCTCCAGCCCACTGCTTCTCACCCATGTGCCATCTCCTGGGTGTCTTGTCTGTCTTGTGGCTGTCTCGGGCTGCCTTCCCATCACCCTGGCTGTTGTGTTGGTTCCAGCCGCAATCCTTTCTAGCTGTCCAAGGTCTGCCAAGTGAGGGGTGCAGAAGAACCCCTGCCTGGCTTCAAACTACAAAGCAGTTTGGGCGACGCGCCCTCTCTCTGGGCCTTTTTCATACGTACTACCACCCCCCTCCGCCCACCTTCTCCTTCCGTGAGAGAGCTTTCCACAAGAGCGTGGTCTACCTCTGGGTCCTGTGCAGGTAAGGGGACCCAGGGGTTGGGAACGAGGGTGCTGGGGGAAGCAGTGTGCAGGCCCCTGCCCCATGACATTGCTCACCTCCTACTGCAGGGCTGGGCTGGCTTGCCCTAGCATGGATGTCCCTGCCCTGCCCACTCTTGGGCCACAGAGGAAGAGAGATTTCACTTCTCTGTCATGGGGTATTAGACCAGCCAACCCATCTAGACAGCTATGGGTGCGGGGAGGCAGCCTGAGCTCCCCCCACCGCTGCAGTACCAGGGAAGGGAGAGCTACATGCAACTGCTGTCCCTTGTCATCCCCAGCTCAGTCGCATTGCCCTTGGGTGCCCTCACGCTGTGGCACGCTGCCCTCATCACCCGTGGTGAAACCAGCATCGAGCGGCACATCAACAAGAAGGAGAGGCAGAGACTGCAGAAGAAAGGCAAGGTGAGTACAGCCCACACAGCAGGAGGGCTGACAGGCAGAACCAGAGGTGACAACACATCTCCCCGGCCTGCAGGTCTTCAGGAACCCCTACAGTTACGGCAGCTGCGATAACTGGAAAGTGTTCCTGGGCGTGGAAACGCCAAGGTAAAGCCCTGGGGAAGCCTCTGTTTGGGAAGGTGGTGTGGGACACTGTGGGGCAGATCAGGACAGTGAGCGTCCCATGTTGGTCTGGGCTTTGTACTGCACAGAGGACCTGGGCGTCAGTGGCCTTGTGGCTCCTCATCCCTGCCTGCTGGCAAATGCTGGCCTACCCAGTCCCCCTTTGCCAAGAGTTCCAGCTGAGGAGCTCAGCCATTGTGCTCACATCCCTGGCTCAGCCCTGCAGAGCCAGGAAGCACCGAGACTTCAGCCTTTTGCTGTGGCCTCACTCCTCTCCCCACAGACACTGGCTCACCCGTGTCCTGCTGCCCTCTTCTCACCTGCCCCACGGGACAGGGCTGAGCTGGGACCTGCCTCCCTGCGTGACGGAGCAGCGTGCCCCACTCCTGGCCATCTGAAGCTGGGGTGCCGCAGATGTCCCTCCCTGCAGGCAGGGAAGGAATGCACAGGGGACCACTCTGCCACCACACCTCCCTTTGGCCCAAGCGCCTGGCGGAAGGTGGATGCTGGCATGCGTCGCTGACCAGAGCCAGAGCCACGGGAAACTCTTTGGACAGTGTCAGTGCCTGGATGCCTGCACTCTGGTGGCTGCGGGCAGCCTGGGGAGAAAGGCAGCAGAGCTGCTGCTCCCTGCTTGAGGTGAAGGTGCTGCCCTCACTAGCACACGTATAGGGGCCAGCACAAAGCCGCGCTTGGCTCTCCAGCAGGGCTGGGCACAGAGGATGGTACCCATGCTCCCCAGACACTCCCCAGGGAGCCTTTTTAAGACCATCCAATAAATTTTTTTTTTTTTAAGGGAGTCTGTCTTTTCTTTTTTCCCTGGTGGGGGAGGCACAGATTTCTGAAGAGAAGAGTAAGGGCCTGAAACGAGCAGCACCTTTAGCTACTCAGCATAGGGAAGGGCACTGGGGTCCTGACCTGAGCTACACGGAGACCCCCTGCAGCATTACCAAAACAGATGTATTTATTCCTCAAGCGTTTGGGTTGCCACACCACCATACATGTGGGTGGAGGCCTGGCAGCACAACTCCTTCCCTGATGCAGGTGCTGGGAAGAGGGTAGAGGTGCCAGGAAGGTGCCGAAGTGAGGGGTGCTGTCTGCTGTCCCCCCCCTGCTCCAGCCCCGGCACTGGGGGCAGTCCTGGGCTCCGAGGGTCCGTAGCATCGTTTGGATGGCTTGGCAGGTTAGCAGGGGCCCAGTCAGATTGTCGGTCAGCACAAGAAGGAGACTCGGGGCGCTCACCTGCCTGGGCTCCCCAGCAGGAACCTGCAAGGACAGAGATGGTGCCATGAGCCACGTCCCCAATATGGCACTGCAGCAGCTCCAGCCACATACACTCACCATTCTCCCCGTGCTGCCACCGCCTCCTTCCGTACCAGCCTCTTCTTGTCATCCAGAGGCTTTGCCACCGGCCCGATAACCGGGGCTTGGCCAGTGCCCGGATAACTCGGGCCTTGTACGGGAGCAGCTATAGGACAGAAAGGGCTCTTAGTGAGAGAGCTGGGTGCTGGCCACCCACCAGGACGAGGTTGGGGACCCCCTTGGAGTGGGCAGCAGGCTGCTGCAGGAACACTTACCACTGTTATGGGCAGGCTGGTGAGCGCGTGGGCGCAGCGCAGGGCAGCGATGCGGACAGCCTGGAATGGAAAGGGGTGAGGGCAGCAGAAGGGATGGACGGAGGAGAGTGGGGTGAAGGGGCGAAGGAGGGGATGTACTCACCATGGTGGGGCTGGAGGTG